ATTCCCTCCTTTCGGCGGAGAGGGGTCTTCTTCGTTGTTGTACTGCTTTTGCCGAGGGGTCCACCGAGAGGCGGTGGGTGATGACCCTTCGGCTGATTCCCGGCATGTCCTCCGGCCCCCATGCAAAGACAGTGGAGTAGGCGCGGAGGGCGTCGGTGATACCGGTCTTCAGATCTTCAGGGAGCTGGGCTCCAATCTTCACGACTCTCTCCGGCTGGGCCGGATCGAGCGCAAAGTCTTCTACGTCCTCGGCCGGTTCAGCCCTCGGCCTTTTTTCTTCTTGGTCGATGGTTCCGGTGATGGTGTCAATACGGAATTCCGTCTTACTCACCTTCTTAGTGACTTGAAGATAGCAGGCGCGGGCGATTTTCTGATTCCCCCGGGAGTAGCCAATGCCCCCCTCGGCGGGGAACTTGAGGCAGAGGTGCCTCATGGAGATGATGGCCTCGAGGTCCTCGAGGGCTGGCCGGCCGAGGATAATGTTGTGGGCGTAGTCGATGTTGACAACGACGAACTCCACTTCGAGCTGGGCTTTATGGAGTCCGTCGCCGAAGATCACCGGGAGGGTTATTACCCCCTCGGAATCAATAGTATCGCCGGTGAAGCCGGCAAGAGGGGTCTTAATGGGCCGAAGGGACCCCCTTTCCAGATGCAGCTCTCTGAAGGTGCTGAGGTACATTACATTGACGGAGCTGCCCGTGTCAATGTAAGTTCGGTGAATGATGGTGTCGTTTATTTCAGTCCGAATCACCAAGGCATCCCTGTGAGGAGAAGAAGTAGGAGGGAGATCTGCGTTGGTGAAGGTGATGGGTTCCTCCCTCAGTCGCTTTACCGGGGGCATATGAGTGATTTCCCCCACGTAAAGCGATTGAGCCCACTTCTTTCGCTGGCTGGTGGAATCGCCCCCTGTATTGCCACCGGTGATCATGAGGATGTGGCGTTTTTTCTCCTGGTAGTGGGGGTACTCCTCCTCTTCTTCCTCCAAGTTTCCGATCTCCCTCTTCTTGCCAAGGGGGATGGTGTTCGGGTTCACCCAAGCGTTTACCTTCGTGTGGTGCCCTCGGGGAGGTCCCTGATGAGAAGGCCCCTCCTGCCGAGGGCTCTGGATAAATTGGGACAGGTGCCCCGCCTGTAGCAATCTCTCGATGGCCGTCTTTAGCTGATGGCATTCATCGGTCCTGTGCCCCTGGTGCCGATGGAAACGACAGTAGGGGAACTGAGGGTTGATAGCATGTACCTCCGGGGACGCGCGAGAATCGCGCTCAACGAGGCCCCTCTCCTCGGCAAAATCAAGGATGATGCTGACGGGGTGCGTCAATGGTGTCCGAGGGCGGTCCAGGAGAATGGGCTGTGCCCAAGTCTTAGGGTTGCTCTTATAACCTCCCCCGGGCTTGGCTTGGCCTTGCCGAGGGCGGTCATCAGAGGGTCCTGAAGCCTTGGGATGATTTCGAGGAGCCCCCGGCCCTCGGTTATTCTTGTTGTCAGCCCTCGGGGGTTGCTGATCTGGATGCTGGTGGTATTTCTCCACCTCCTCGGCCTCAGCATATCAGTCCCCTCGCTGTAGGGCCCTTATGTAGTCGCGGGGGGGGGGGGGGGTTCGATGATGAGTCTCCTTGAAAAGTTGCCGGTGCGGAGGACGGTTTGTAGGAGGGCCAGGAGGGTCCCGTCATCAGCACCGTCGACTTTGTCGGCTTCCGTCCTCCAGCGCTCCAGGAAGTCCCGATGGGTCTCATCCCTCTTCTGGCGTATGGTTAGGAGGTAGGAGAAGTGCTTCCTCGTGCGACGCCTCCCGGCAAATTGTGTCAAGAATCGCTGGGCGAGTTCTTGCCACGAATCAATGCAGCCCTCAGGCTGCCTGTTGAACCATTCGTATGTCGGCCCCTCTAAGGTGGAGAGGAACCAACGACACAAATATTCGTCTGACGCCCCTACCATCATCATGCTGTTTTGGTATTTGCTGTAGTGTTCCTGAGGGTCCGTCTTCCCGTTGTAGGGCTGTATGTGTTGCCCTCGGTATTTTTCTGGGATCCGGGCCGCCAGTACCCTTGGGGTAAATGGCGTCCGGGTCCGGAGCTGGATGACGGGTTCCCCGGAGCCCTCGGCCACCTTCTTCTGTAATTCCTCCATTTTGGCCATCATGGCCTCGTATTTGAGATCTGAATGAGGGGTGGAGGTGGTGGCGTGAGCTTTGTTGGCCTCCATTTCATCAAGCCGGCGTTGAAGGGCCGCAATAATTTCGTCCCGGGGATCCTTCGGGAGGGTCCCCGCCCCCTGCGAACGAACCCGGGCCGAGTGGGCCTGGTTGATCTGGTGGCGAACATCATTGGCATGAAGGGGTGCCTTGCCTTTGTCCCGAGGGGGGCGCTCCTCGTCTGCCCTTGAGACAGACCCTCCGCTTTCCTGGGGCCTTTGGAGTGCTTTCCCTCCGAGGCGGTCTTGGACCCCTCGGCGGTCTGGCCCTCCTCCGAGCCGGTTGAGGGCGGAAGTGCGGGGCCTTTCTCTGTTGTCATTGTGGCGGTCCCGGGACTGAACTTCCTGGGAGGACGTATCTTGGGCCACTACCCCTTCGTCGTTCCTAACCCGAGGGGTGGGGTTTCCGAAGGGGTGTGGCAGAGGGGGAAGTATGATGTTCTCCCCCACCTGGGGTTGAGCCGGAGCCAGGGTGCCGAAGGCACCCGGGTTCTGAGTGAGCGTTTGGATGAAGGCGGAGAGCGCCGATTGCACGTCGATGGTGAGAACCGGAGGGCTGACTTGGTCATCGCTCCGGTTTTTCTTCTTGGCCTCGATGCCGAGGCGGGCATCGGGGGCATTCTGTTGGATCTGAAGGCGTAGGTCGACAGCCGCCTGTTCCAGCCCAGCGATGACACCGCCCTCGGGAGCCCTGTGAGAGGCTTCGGGGGCGTTGACGTCGCCGAGGGCCAGGTTCTTGTCTTCTACGTTTTTGGAGTTGGCACGTGTTGTTCTCACCATTTTGGTAGAGGGCTAGTGTTTGGCGAAGGGGGAGGGTTTCTTACTCGATTGTTCGACCTCTCAACGAGAGCACCAAATGATGGATAGTCTACCCGGGGGGTAACTTATCCGAGGGGTTATTGCTGAGAATAACTTAGAGAGAAGTCAGAGCACAAGTAAGCAAGAGAGAGAGTGTATTCAGTATGAATGCCGTGGTTTACAACGGGAAAAAGGGGGGGCTATTTATAGTAGCAATAAATGCCGGACAGAGACACGTGTCAAGCATCCATTGGCCGAGAGGTCACCTCATCCGGTTGGCGCTGGCAACCGCATGTGGCCGCATTTAATGCGGCTGTTGGATGGGACGTTGCACAGGGTACGGTGATCTGTATGCGCGTGAAGAGGAGATCTTGTCGAGTGAGGTGCCTTCGGCTATAGAGCAGTAGCCGAGGGCTCCTCAAACCGAGGGCACCCTGGTGCCGAGGGCTCCTGGTGCCGAAGGCTACTGTTCTTCGTCGTTTTCTCTCAGTTTCTTAGTTTGTTTGAGAAACCCGTTCTGTGAGAGTTTAGAGCCTTCGGCCAGGGGGTCGAAGGCACCCCTGGTGCGCTGTGGGCTGCTTGGTACTCCGGGCGCCATGATTTGGGCCTGTTGGGCCTTCTGGGCCTGTTGGGCCTTTACTAGAGTAGTGGGAGTCTGTGGGCCGGGGGGGTTCATGGGCCATATACTCCATCAATAATTATGTATTTAATTATGTATTAATGTTGTAATTAATTAACGGGAAAATCGCACTTTTAGTCTTGGAAATAGTCACCAAATTGAATTGTCAGACCTGTACTTCCGAGATTGTAAATGTCACCCCTCAATTTTCGAAATTGGTGCAAATATGGTCTTTTGATAGGTGAAATGTATTCAACGCCCACATTGTACATTTCACCCCTCAAAGGACCACATTTACATCAATTTGGATAATTGAGGGGTGAAATTTGCAAACTCAGGATTACCGGTCTGACTTTCAATATGGTGACTATTTCAAGGACTAAAAGTGCAATTTTCTCTTAATTAGTCATTAATATATTTCACAGTTACCATTTGTAATCGCCTATAAAAGGCAAGTTCGATTCAAATAATAGATATGTTATTTCTGGCAACCAAACTCTTGAGCAACTTTTCATATTCCTACTTACTTTTTTTATTCCTGCTTGAGTTATATCGTAGTTTTCCTAAAGCCTACCAGCGACCTATTTTGGATCAACATTTATTAATAAAATAAAGAAAAAAGGGAGAACTATCAAATAAGCCCTCGAACTTTCATAAAAAGTGCAAATAAGCCCTTTTAGAGGGAACTTTGTCCGACTGTCACCATTTGGGGAGGTTTCCGGCAGAATTGTTTGATGAATTTTTTTGAGCATCTTCTTCATTAAGTCTAGTTTACCCATACCAAATTTCACCAAAAAAAATAATTGATAAGGCAGACAAATGGTTTTCTGAAATATAATGCGTTGTTTAACTACGCAGTTATCTTTAAAAAAATCATTTGACTGCCTTCCCGATTGAAGTTTTAGCTGAAATTTGGTATGAATAAACTAGACTTAATGAAAAAGATACTCAATAAATGTGATCAAAAAATTCCACCACAAACCGCCCCAATTGAAGACGGCCAAATAATGCCTTCTATAAAAGGGCTTATTTGAACTTTTTACGAGACTTATTTGATAGTTCTCTTAAGAAAAAATAATATGAAAAACAGTTAAAATGGTCTTTTAATGTAACTTCAGTCAATACAGCCAGAAAATTAACTTCAACCTTAGTTTTTTTTATTATTACACAATTGAGCGCGAGAAAACAAAAGTAAAAAAAAAAAACAGAAGCTCAAATTCCCTGCTGGCCAGCCCAAACACGCCCTTATAATGGTCACATTTAAATCCATAGTACTCCGTATAGCCATGCGAAATAGTGTGCCACATCAACAGCAGCGCAAAAACATACGGCGACCGCACTTTTTCCTAAATCAACCGCACTATATAAACCTTAATCCACTCTCTCCCTCATTATCGTTCGACCGTTAAAAAAATAAAAACAAAAACAGAAATGCTTTTCTCCGTGTTTCTCGCACTGTTCCTGCCATGCGCCGGCATGTCCGTAGTGCTTATAGTCTACTTCTGCTTACTCTGGTACGCCGCCACCTACCCGGCCGCCCCCACCGCCGCCGCGAACGACCCGGAGGCGGTGAAGAACAACCAGCCCGTCGGCCTCTCCCCCACGCAGCTCCAGAAGCTTCCCAGCGTCACCGGTAAGGATTTGGTTTTGGGCGACGACTGCGCGGTTTGTTTGGACACCATCGGCGTCGACGAGCCGGCTCGGCTCGTTCCCGGCTGCAACCACGGTTTCCACATCGAATGCGCCGATATGTGGCTGGCTAAGCGCCCGGTCTGCCCGATTTGCAGGACCGGGCTGGGCCCGGAGCTGTTTGACCCGCCCGAAGCTAATCCCTGCTGAGTCCATCGTCTCATTTCTTGGCGGCGGGTTTTCCGGTTGTTGTGTTGCGGTAAATTTCTGTTTTTTATTTTTTTATTTTTTTAACGAAAATGAAAAAAGAAAGAAACGAGAAATCTCTGGCGGAGTAAGTCTAAGGACTAAAGAAGACTTTTGTTTGGACTTTTCATTTATTTTGTAAATATATGTTTAGTTTAGATTTTTATTATTTAGATTCTAGTTCTTTAAAAGTATTTTTTGAGTTTCATCCCAATCCAGAGATATTAACGTTAAAATGAGCAAATATTACAATAGATTTAAAAGAATATTTCAAAAAAATAATAATCTTTAAGCATTAAATTAATATTTCCTTTAATGGATTTCATGTAACTCCATGATACATGCTGGTAGGTACTCACATCACCAATGTTTTCACATATTATTGAGGTTCAGATTTTGTTAATGGCCTACAAGCTTTTCCTTTATAAATAAAATAGAAATAAAAAAAAAATTAAGCAAAGTTAACCGTATGTCAATTCAATAATTATTACCACCAAATGTGCTTTTGGTCGGAAAAGTATGTCTACCAAACACAAATTAAAGGCCCTTTTGGTCATTTTGCAATGCATGTCATTAGTTCATCAGTGTGGATTCATTTCAATTAAAATTTGGGTTCCACCTTACTAAGATAAGCTGAAAAATCAAGATCTTATGCATTGGTTTCTATTTTGCCAAGATTACGGTTCCTCATTTCTTTCTTCTCTGTATTTGCTCATTTCTTTCTTCTCTGTATTTCGACCATATAATTTTTACTTTTTTTATTTCTTAACATCCAATTTCTTAACTAAGTTGGAGTTGGTAAAATTCACCGAGATAGAGGTAATATAACAATATAGTAATTCATCTTTTACTTGTACCTGAAATACATCAATACTTCATCGTGTCGTCATTAATTTTTTCCTTTTGTGTTACAATGATAGTCACATTTTCATTTTCACAAGGGCCACACTATGATTATAGATTTATAGGTTAGTTCCCTTATTTTTCTCTTGATATTATATTATGATGCTTATTGAGACTTTTTTAATTACAAATTTACCATCAGAATTGGCTAGTCTCAATTCTATTGAACCTAGTTGTTTGAGAAGCTAATTTTAAACACAAAAATCTGGTATTTCATATTGTTGTATAGTATAGTCTTCTTACTTTTGGTCGGATCCACAATTTAAAGGTTTTTACGGCAGTTTGTAATCTACACTTGGTTCACAAGTTAAAGTCCCCGTTTGGATAATAGCGGGTAGCACCAAATCGCTGAAAAATTGAACTATGAAACGCTGCAAAATGCAGCGGGTAGCACTAAACCGCCGAAAAATAACTCAACAATAATACTCTCCAAAAAATAACTCATCAATAAACAATTTTATTTGAGTGTCACGTCACTTCTAATTTTTGTCAAAGCTTCTTCTATTAATTAAGAATGAGAATATATTTGAATTTGGAACTCTTACTCATTTACATAGTACTCCGTATTATTTTTGTTTTTATTTAAATCTTGTCTGATCTGATCTAAAACTAATCTGAGATTGAAATAAGTTTGAGTAAAAACCTTGCAAATCATAGTCTAAAACTAGTGAGGTACTTAATCAAATTAAACATAACACTCATGCGCTGTATTTTTTTTTATATAATTGCGCTACTTCGCGATTAATTACTATTTGTGGCTAGATGTCATCAAGCTAAAATAACTACTCTTCCCCTCTTTAAAATCTGTCACATTTTAGAAATTACGTTCAATTTAACATTACCCATCAATGCTTAATTTGTTTTACCTACAGTCTTTAAAACTAAATTACTCTATTGATCTTGAGATATGAGTTGAATGACACGAGTGTGAAATTGATTTAGGATGAAAAACAAAAACAGTATCATTTCATCAATGAATAGTCTAATTCTCATTGTTGGCAAGCATTCTCGATCGGCATTAATGAAATCTCATATGAAATGTCAAATAAGTCTCTATCCGTGTGAAACGTTCAATTTATCATCTGAATTAACAAAGGTTCCATTGACACCCCTAACTTGATAACAACGTTCAAATTTCATTTTTGCACGTCATGATCTGGTCACTACTACGTCATACGGTAAATTGCCCACTGTGCATCTAACGTGATAACTTGAGGCAAATAAACCTTTGAAACTAACCGCGTCGTTCATTTTACCATGCAACCCTTAAATGTCAAAATTTTGATAAAAAATACAAATATAAAATAAAATACACGTCAAAAATATAATATATATATATATATATATATATATATATATATATATATATACGAAATATTTATATTCTGCGGTAAATTCAAAATATAAAATCAAACATCAACTTAAAGAAATTAGTTACCTTTATCTCCATATTTTATAACTACTATGTATATTTCATATAACAAATAAACAATGTATTTTACCAATTATATTTAAATATTTATTTTATGTATTATATCTTAGTACATGTGGCATTATGTTTACATTATCTCAAGAAATTATTATATCTTGGTTATATCTAATGTTTTGTAATATAACACTAATTTTAGTTTTTGGGTTTGAAAATTTATATGAGGCATTATGTTTACATTATCCATTTGTATTTTTTTAATTTATTTTAATGTAACTATATTTTTTCAATGTAACAAATTACACTTTTTTATATCTATAGTAATATAAAAATTACTCCGTATATAAAACTATAAAAATAGTAACTACATATTATATATATATATATATATATATATATATATTAAAGTACTTTTTAACGTATTATATATACGAAGTACTACGTACTAATTGTGTGTAATTTATGCTATATATAAAGTAAGCTATTAAATATACAATCATATGTGTGTAGACGCGAGCGCGCGCACACACATATATGTGTTGTATGTTCAAATAACTATTACATTTTTAAAAACAAAATATAAATATATGATTTGGAAATAAAGTTCAAGAATTGATTTCTTTTAGTTTATTTTTTATTTTTTTATTTTTCATTTACTGATAAAATATAAATATTCATATTTATATTTTATATTCTCGACTTGTATTTTTTATTATATTTTTCTTTTCTATATGTATTTTTTGTTTCTCTTTTTCATAACTTCGATATTTTTTAAGTTTTGAAGGGGTAAATTGAACAATTCAGCCTGCCACATGCACATATCTTTTCTTATTTGACCCTTTATTTTTTTCTGTCACATGCACAGTTTGCACCCTACAATGTGATGTGACGGTGAACAAATCGGTATAACCTGCAAAAAGTGAAATTCGGATCTTTCTATCGAGCTTGGGGTGTCAATTAGAGTTTTTTTGGAGTTAAAATGGCAATTTGAGCAATTCGGTCGGAAAGTTACACGGGCCTATTTGACCCTTCACCGTTCCTGTTTTTACTAAGTATTTATTCGTTTGTCTATGTTTACGGTACTATTAGGAAGAAAGTTTGTCTATTCGTTTAATTTAAATCTGGTTTAGTCTGGTTTAGCCTATTTTTACGGATGTCTAATCATTTGTCTATGCACTTTTTTATTTGACCCTTCTTTTCAATTTAAAACTGGTTTAGTCTGATCTTATTTAATCTTATCTATTTAACCCGAGTTATGTATTAGACTTCCTCGGTCTCACATTCATGGTATTAGTCTTCGTCATTTGGTAACGGTTAAGTATTTTCTGCTTATTAACCTTATCAATAGACTATTTTACAAAACACACAACTTTTTATTTCACTTGTTGAATTGTGTAATACGGAGTAATAAAAATAAATAAGGTAGAAGTTATAGTTTTTTTACTGACATCGATTAGTAGAAGTTATTGTAAAAGACCATTTTAGGCATTTTCAGATATTTTTTTATACTCCCTCCGTCCCACTGGACTTTGACAACTTTTCTTTTTTATTTGTCCCAAAAAACTTTGTCACTTTCCTTTTAAAGTAATGTTTTTGTGGCTCTGTTCATTTCTCTCTCCTTTACACAAACCTCAACCACATAAATTTTATTATTCTAATTTCCAACCTAACATCAACTTGACAAAGTTAAGTGGGATAGAGCTATATAGGTAATATAATTCATAAACTATTTTTTAAATATAACTTTGATTTTTCAAAAAATCAATAGATTCAATCATATCAGATGTAGCCACAATTCAAACGAGCCGATTGGCCTTAATGTCGTAGATAAAGAGCTCATTTCTACAAATTGATAAGTGGTACGTATTTTAATAAAGGAACATTTCTACTATCTTATGTTTTGCTTACTTTTTATTATTTTTAATGTTAAGGTAAATATGAAGTAAGATTAAATTATCTGTTATTTTTATTCCTGAATCAAATTCACAGTTTCCTTTTTGGGTAGATCCAAAATAAACTTCACACTTCTTCTCTCTTTCTTATTTGGTAAATTATCTAAATCAAAACAGTGCAAAACAGTGTCAAACAGTGCCAAACAGTGTCACAACAGTGTACTCTATAGTAAAGTCAAATTTATTTTTTTAATTTGTGTGAAGTCATTTGTTTTGAGACGGGAGGGAGTACATGTATAAACATAATTGACCGACGGGTGGCAATATAAAATGCTGAATTGCTGATGACCGAATATAAGAATAAATGAATGAAAGTGAGAAAACATATAGTACGAACTCACAGTACATGTTCGGGACACATGTAAACATCATGAAATAAGGTGGGAGCAATGAGTGGTGACAAGACATCATTACGATAAAATCATACTCCCTCCGTCCCTTAAAACTTTGTCATATTTCTTTTTTGGGACGTCCCAAAAAACTTTGTCACTTTCCCTTTTAATCAATTATTTTGTGGTTTCTGTCATTTCTCTCTCCTCTGCACAAATCTCAACCACACAGTTTTTACTTTATTATTCTCTGTGCCGGTCAACTTTGGCAAAGTTTTAAGGGACGGAGGTAGTATTGTGTTTTATATTATTTATTAATCACTTCCTTGATTTGTAACAACTCTTAAAAAGACAAATAGAAGAGAAAATAGTTCAATTACATAAGGAGTATTTGAGGAAGCAATCTCTTGTTGGTGGGCGTAGCCCAACTGGCAGTGAGGAAGTGTCATAAGGGTTATGTCCTGGGTTCGAATCTCGCCAACTGCGATGAGAGGTGACTATGCTAAATGCTAGAGCCTCTGCAAGTACCGGGGATAGAGCCCCACCTTCT